GTTAGGTGTTGTGTTTTAGAGCATCATCGCCAGAAGTGATTTTGAAGTGTCCGTCGAAGAGGGAGATTGAGGAGACGACTATGTGCTTCAAGGATTTATTTTTCTTCTCCCTTGTTTCTGCCGAAAAAGTAATAACAATTCAGAGGAAAAAATAAATAGTAAAACGCAAAAGACGGAGACCCGATACCAAATTCCGTCTATTTGGGTTACCTGCGATTTGGGCCAAGTCTAATGGGTCAGGCTTTGGATTGAGTTTTAACCAGTCCAGTTAGTGCCACTTCATAGCCCGCATGGACCAATCAGATATGGCGTCACTGGTGCAACACTTTTTACAGCGGCACCATAGTATTTGCCACTTCTTTTTTGTTGACACTTCGTTTGGTGTTTAATTAATGAACCCGCCCAGTAGTTAGCCTTAGTTCAATGAGAATATTTTTTAGCATAACTCTGTATTTTTACCTTTACAGGCGGTGGAAGTAGTGTTGGTAAAATAAAATTGTGTTTAAATCACTCACCTGCACTCCTGCAGGTATTTGCTCCTGCTCTTGCCCGTTGGCCTTTTTTACTGTTTACTAATGTCATTTTTTTACTTGCTTAAGTGTCACAACTTGATTATGATTTAAGGTGCTCTTTGCTATGTTTATCCATTTGGTTGTTTGGTATGCTCGACTAGGGGCAAGTTTGTTTGCTCTTTTGCAGGTGGCATTTCAGCGACGGCTACCAAGGATGGAGTTCTTCTTACTGCCATTTCAACTTGCCAGGTCTAGTTGGGGCGTCGTTTGGTGCTTCGTGATGCTGCTTGTGTACTTGATGGGGTGATTACCAATGGTAGTTGGGCGTGCTCTCCATATCAGAGTTTGGTACCTTGAAGTCTGTATCCTTTTCAAGGAATTGTCTATCACGTGTTCTACCTTTGTCAAACATGCTCTTCGATTGTTAGATTTGCAGGGATGTGATGCATGATAGTCGCCTTTCAGCCACTCGGCCCTCACAGTTGTATGTTCGCTCCACTGCTTCAGTTTCAATGGGCTCGATCCTTGAATTTATCCCTGCAAAGGGTAGAAGTTTGGTCAGAGATTCAACCCATGCCAAAATGGTTTCAAAGAGCTGCCCATATCGTGACAAAAAAAACTCTATTCTCGTTGGTCGGTGGTTGGTCGCTAGCGCCCCCTCTTTTTTTTTTTTAATGTCAGCCTGCAAAGGCTTTACTTTTATATCATATATATGTTTCCCTTTTGGGAATATCTATGGCAAATTTTTTTTTATTAAATATGTTGCTACATAACAATTTTCTTTACCTAGTCAATCATCTTATATATCTGCACTTGTGCTTCTTCAACCCTCATACTTAGAGTACCGCGTAGGTAAGGATGACCGTCTTGAAATGATCTCTTTAACTTAGGAGTGGGAAATGAGTGGGATGGGTGGGTTTCGATTTTAAACTGACCCACCCACTTACCAACAAGTTGATACAATTGCGACCTGCAATCCACCCACAAACTACTTCGGATTAGATTGGGGTGGGGGAGGGGGTGGGGGTGGCAGATGTGTGCGGTTGGGTTGTGGGTTAACCCACAAATGCAATTCTTCAACTAGTAAATGGGCAAGTTGATTAACATTTGTAATAAATTTCTCACAAATTAGTAATATTGCATCAATTTAGACACATCATGCCTTCATATAGAGACGCCAATTTGTATCCAATCTTTCGTTACTTTATAAACCCATTATGTAGAGAAAGTTCACGATTTTTACGAGTTAGGAATAATTAATAGTTTATAATTTGCATCTCAATATTTAATAGACATTACACAACATAGTGATCAATAGTAGTAGCCCAATTTTTTTAATTCTGCCTTTAGAAGTCGATGGTTAGTGTGTAGTGTCGGCTGAGAAATACAGTAACTATTTGTCAATATAAATAGGGAACACGTATTTTCTATGTAAAGATGGGGTGTGGATCATTCCGGTGACCCGCAACCCAACCATCACCCTATAAGTACGGGTAGGAGATTTATTGATCCACAATCTACCCACATCAATCACCCATCCACGACGGTTTGGGTTATTTGCGAGTAGGTCGATGTCAACCCGTGGATTGTCCACCCACATGTGCACCCCTAGTTTTACCTGACATGTTTTTGGGCAGGTAGAGATGACAATTTGGACGTGACTCGTTTTACCTGACCTTTTGACTTGTTTTTGGGCAGGTATAAATACTCGCCGTGTAGGTGGAGTGGGCATGAATACTCGTCTTGACTTGACCTATCATGTCTCTCCTCATTCTCTACCCGTGTTTACCTAGAATACATTCAATTTTATTCAAATTATTGATAATTTTACTTTTATAATCTCATATTTGAGCTATAATAAAGTTGTAGATAGGCGAGAACCTTAATTTCTCAAATACTTAATTACATTTATCATAATATAGTTTATTTCTTATTTTTATAATAAAGAATGTATTTGTAGTATTTTTCTTTTAACTTACGTAACATACTCATCTCGACCTTCTCCATAATTAATTACCCGACCTACTACAATACGAGTGTGTGTTGAACTGCCCCAACCCTGATCCATTGCCTTTCCTAGAAGTAGCTGATTCAATCAAGTGTAAACTTTGAATAGTAGTTAGTTTCATTTAATTAGTTTAGGAGCATAAGAATAAACTAATTAGCTACAAAATCCCTAGACTAATTATACTTCTTCTTCCATTCCATGTATAATGTATTCGATTGGGAGCTACAGTCAATTGCTTGTATTGGACGTAAGATATTGATCTCTCTCGCATCACACCTACTAAGTAACCATTTAGCAACTACCAATACCGACTTTTAGTCACCAGACAACACACTACCTTCCAATACTTAGCTTCTTCCAAATTCTAATATTCTAACTTAACTACTTCTCCTCCCTCTGAAATGAAGGCTTCATTGTGTTGTTGGTCGTCACCTGATGGTTACAGTGGGAGAAATGGTGACAGGAACGTGTACATGTATATAATAGCCAGAGAGGAAAAGCATTTGTTTTGAAAATGGGATGACATGTTTGACTTTGACAATGATATCGTGTCATGAGTTGTATTTGGTTGTGTTCTCATCCAAGGTCAAAAGCTTGTTTTTTAGGGTTTAACGAGTCGACAACACAAACTTGGGAATAGGGAACCAACTTTTCCTTCGTTTTCTTGTGTCTTTGGCTCTTCTCGTTAATTCACCCAAACCAATAATTAACCACTCAGTCTGATCTCTAAATTATCCCTCCAAAAGGTTATTATTATTTTAGGGTTTTGTTAGAGGATGTCATGAACCAGTTGGTCCCAATAACTCGAGTTGTTGGGAGAAGGTTATGCTGGATCTTATACAGGCCCGTATATGGTACTTAACCACTTCCTTACACGCCCCCTCAAACGAAAGCCGACCCATGGGCTTGAAGTTTGCACAGGCCCACCATACCATGTGCTTGAAGACAACGGTTAATATTGGGGGTCGTGAGGACTTGAACACGTGACCTCAAGGACAAACCAGCTCTGATACCATGTCATGAACCGGTTGGTCCCAATAACTCGAGTTGTTGGGAGAAGGTTATGCTGGATCTTATACAGGCCCGTATATGATACTTAACCACTTCCTGGATGAATTGGAATGTGTATGTATAAATCTTACTTTTTGTGTTTTTGTTAAAAAGAAGAAAACAATTGGTACAAATTATGATACAATTCAATTTATACCTTATCTTTTCGTACAAGAACCTTTGTGATACAAACTAAATTTTTACTTTTAAATTATTAGGATTTAAATTCTATATATATATGGCGAGTTCTACGGTACCCTGGGTGAAATCCGGGGTACCGCATACCTTGAGTATAAAAACACTATCTAGACCTTGAATTGACCGATCTTTCGGACATGATACTATACTCTAACACTTAAAGATCAAAATCTAGGTGTTAACTCTCCCAATCTTATACTCCAAGATCAATTTAATTAGAAACAATAATCGACGGTTATGATTCATCCAAATATAGGCACAAAAAGGAATGCACCATCTTAGGGTTTATAGATTATGATTTAGATAATTATGACCTACGTTTCACTCATTAAGGGTTAGGGTATAATATCAGACACAAAAATCCTGGTAATTCGAGGTCTAGATAGAGTTTCCATACTCGAGATATGTGGTACCCCGAAAAGTGGGTGCACCGAATATGGAACCATATATATATATATATATTTATTTTATATTCATAGTCAGATGAAATAGTAGACCAATATGATTACAATGAATAAAAATAACGGCACGCAATACTAGTCGATTTGGCGATGAAAGAGCCATATAAGCTATATATTGGTTTGGGCTAATTCAATCGACCAGATCTTATGTAATTGATATCTATATATATGGTTCATGCTATATATATGTTTATTATGACCATTGTAGCTTACGATAGATTATAGTCCTTTTGCTCAAGCAATTGATCAACATTATATCTATCCCATCGTGATTAACGTTTTAAATTATTATTCTGTGTGGGGAAGCACTCGCATGAAACATAAGGCTCGGAGAAGAGTGATATCTTTGTTATCATCTCCGGTTTATCCAATAACTCAGAGTTTTAAAGAAAATTTTTAATAATAGATCTTAGATAATTTTCTGACACGTTCTCTCAAATTAAAGTCAATATGTATAAGGTTAATGTTTGCACATGTTGTACATGCATACTATTATGGGATTGTCTAAATTTGAATACGGACTCATAGATCACAATCAATGTATAGCTCTCAGGTATTGCGTTAACGTCTCGTTCGTTTACGTATATAGCACAAATTAATGGGAAAGATTCGAGAATAAAAGAGATATTTCTCAATACGTGTAAGATAACTTTGGTTTTTATATGTAACTGTTCTTTTGATAATCGGATAAAAAAATTAGTGTTTGACAGAGAAACTGTGAAGCAACATATACACCAGGAAGTGAAGGAATATAGGAAATAATTTATATATATAGAGTGCTACAAATTATTAAAAATGTTACGAATGAAAGCAAATTGCAACATTAAACATTCGTTTCTGTTCTTTCTTCTTGTCCTTATTTTCTGTGTCTCGAATGATCTAATTGGGACTGTCTTCGACCTTGTATGTATCAATTTCTGTACATATATAGTATAATTCAAAGGAAATTCTCCCCCAACAACCTAAGGAAATTGATATGAAAAATGGAACTATAATTAATAAATGAACAAATAAGAATACTAGCTAGTTGCTGCGAAGACTCTATTATTGTAAACCTTTCGAATGCTAACCAGGTACATCATCGACAGAGAGTGGGTGGTGCTGATAAACTGCAGAACAACAAGAAAGAATTTCTAGTTATAATTTAAGAAAAGGAAGGAAAATGACATGAGAGTAAATTAAGGGCATAATTTTAAGGACAAAACTTTCATCAACTAGCTTTTTGAATAAGGTGACAGGGGAATTTTATATGGAACAAGTTTGTAACTGAGAAAAGTTGGACGTTATTTTACAATCGCGAAATCGTATTATTTAAGAAACAATTTTAGGCTAAAATACTTGGATTATGAATAAATTTCGTCAATAAACACGAAAGTTTGACAAATAATTTTACCCGCACTCAGTTCACAAGCTTATAATAAAAGCTATCGAGATTTGAAGTAAACAAAATATTAATGTGATAAGCTCTACGAACATGTATGTTTATACGATTTATATTGCGTAAATTAAGTAGATAAAAGTGTTACAAATTTATGTTCTTTTTTTTGCCGAACGTGATGAAATCACAAAATTTATTGAGAAAAAGGATAATCATCGTACATTTTGTCTATAAATTTGTTACTAAGTGCACCGAAGTCTAGGGCATTCACAATGAAATAACGGACTTGCAAATTGAAAATCTTAATTACTTAAACTGAATCCAGATATAGATTTCCATCAACTCACTCACGCACGCAATTAATTACCAAGGAATTCAATTCAATTGTTATATCTAAAAACTACCTAACAAGCTAGGTGACGACAAAGTAATTACAACGTACCTACTCCAATACAAGATGGTCATCTTTCCACGACGAGAAGAAACCGCTGCCGCCGAGGACCGCAAAGTCGTCATCCATCAGCAACATCTTCTCCCAAGCTTCGTACTCACCACCCACATGGGTCGCCGTCGACGTCGTTCCATCCGAAAAATTCTGCTGGTAATTATTATTGTTGTTCTCCGCCTCCATCTTCATCCTCTCCATCTCACCGCCGCCGTTAACGTTGTTGTTGTTATGAACAAGTGACGTCGATGATGACGCCTCCGGCGATACCAACCCCGGCATGGCTAAAGCCCCGTTGCTGCTGTTGTTGACCATTAGCGACGACCCACCAGCCGTCGCCAAAGTATTGATGAGCTGGTTGCAAAAAAGCTGTGACAATTGTTGTTGGGCCAGGAAGGGTGAAGCTGAGGTGGCGGTTGTCGGGTTGAAAAGGTGCAGAAGGTTCTGCGCCAGTTGCACCTTCGCCGCAGCTTCATGCAGGTTCGTCGTTAAAAGTCCGTCGGGAATGATACCATTAGTGTTGTAGTTGTTACTATTACTGCTGAGCATCATCATGCTGTTGAGCTGCTGAGCTGCCCCTATCAGCTGGGTGAGGTTGATGATCTGTCTGTGGTCGGTCCGCGGCTTGTGGGTTTGCGGGTCGATCCCCATTTGGAGAAGCTTCTTCCTGATGTGCGTGTTGTAGTAGTTCTTGATCTCGTTGTCCGTCCTTCCCGGTAGGTAGGTCGCTATCCTCGACCACCTACAATGATGAGAGGAAAAAAAAAACGAACTTACACACGTATTAATAAAAAAAAATTCGAACCATCACGAGACCAACAAATGCAGGAATTAAAAAAATAACTAAATATATGGTTTTGTTTTCGGTGTACTCACTTGTTGCTGAGGACGGAGTGGAGGTTGATGATGAGCCGTTCCTCTTCGTCGGAGAATTTCCCGCGCTTGATGTCGGGGCGGAGGTAGTTGGTCCAGCGGAGGCGGCAGCTCTTGCCGCAGCGGTTTAGACCCGCCAGCTTGGGCAGCGACTTCCAGTTGGTGTGGCCCTTGTTGGTGATGTAGTCGACGAGCTTGGCGTCTTCTTCGGCCGTCCAGGGGCCTTTCTTCACCTTCTCCTCGTCTTCGCCGCAGCAAGGTGGCCTCGCCATTGTTGTTGGAAACTCGGCAACTGTAGTAGCGAGCTCAGTTCTTTGTTTCTTGCCGTGAAGCTAGGCAATGATAACCAACTTCAATTGTGAAGGAAGTGTGATGGGCAATGGCATGTTTATATAGAGGCTTGACTCTTGTATGGGGTTACTTCGGTTCTCTCTCTTTTTGCATGGGAAACGTAACGCAAACGATTAGGTTAGGGAGGGCCGTGACTGAGTTTTTTTACTAATTTTTTTCGCTTTCAAAGGATGAATTAAAACTACTTTTTTACCTACTGTGGATTAATCCACCTGTTGAATCAAACGGGAGTTGAAATCAAAAAGAGAGTTCGAATCATCAATGATTTTTTAGTATTTAGACACATGTCAATGTACTCTTATCAAAGTGGTCTCAAGTGGCAATGCCATGGATTGGAACTAGTAGCTAGGGTGTTCAAACGGTTTGGTTATCATGGTAACCGTTTTAACCGGTACTATTTGGATAATTTGGTTTGGTTAATTTAGATAATTGGTTTGGTTTGGTTAAAGTTTTTAGCTTGTTTGGTTTAGGTGGTTTGGTTTAGTTTTAGACACTCCTAAGTCCTAACCAGTCAAATCAAATTAACCAGTTAAGTAATTAGTCATATATCTAACATATATTATATACACATACTTAAAACTTTGCATAACAACTCAAGAGTTAACGTTCATCCCTTTCAGACTCATGAAATATAAAGCTCAATATTTCTCATATAGTGTATATTTGTATATGTAAAATGTAGACCACAACATATGGACGCCTAATTTAGATAAATTTCATACATTATGATGGATGAAAACTTGAAAGGAAGGTCATTTCCAGCCTATGATAATTGCTAAGAGACTAAGTCAATTTACGCAAACACAACAATTCATTAACCCATACCATTGTCATAAATTTTTGTTAGGTGAATACTTCTATACTAATCGTAAGATAATTGTCTTAGTTGCATGTATTTTTGTTAAGGGTCAACTATAACTACGTGTTGGTTGTTATGTTTTATTCATTACATAAATTGTGAATTGTTGCATTAACCGGAAAATTTTCATCGTCAATGATAATGTGATTTTATATTGGTTAATCTGGTTAACCAATTAACCAAACCGATTAAACTTTAGTTTGGTTAATTTGGTTGTTGTATTAGTTTGAACGGTTTGGTTATGATATTGTATTCCATGGTTAATGGAATTTAGCCTTATTTGGTTTTGTTATAACCATGGTAACCATTGGAACACCACTACTAGTAGCTAGCCCTTATTTGCCAAAAACCGATTAGCTAGGGTAATACTTGGGAGAGTTAAATTTCTTATAGTTGTTTGAACGATGGATAGAGATCGAAAATTGTCAAATGATAACTTCTAGTCAGTTATTGTTTTTAATGTTCGTGATTGATTTAAGGCTGTTATAGGAACTGAAATTGTTAGAAGTGAAAAGACATAACGATATTGAAAACGTATACTTTAACAGTATAGTAGTATAACGAGATGTTTTATAAATAGTGAAAAAATAATGAAATATATTGAACGAACTATACTTTACCGTAGACAACTAGTTTATATCGATTTTCTTAAAATATAAATTATTAAACCAAATTCTTTTAAGAAATGAAAGCATATCATGATTATAAGGTAAATAATTAGTTGATTATTTTCTTATCTATGACTACATTATTTAGAAACTTTTATTTGTGTATTATACAAAAGGACACACCTTATCTTCTAGATCCGACATTGTATATAAAATTCATTTTAATATGTTTCTCTCAACAATTTGCATTACTATACTATGAATTTGTTGAACAAACTAACGAGAAATAAACAATAACAAGAACACCGAGATTTACGTGGTATCCTCAACGTATTGTTGAGACTAATCCACGGAGAGGAGCAACCTCTCAAAGTCAATTGTATTCCACCGAGAATCCTTAGGTTTACACACATTGTCTAGCAACATATATATATCTGCCGAGCAACCCTATCTCTAGGCCCAAACGGATTACCCAAATCAACTAGCACAAGGATTAAGGCCAAATTACAATTGACTACCCATAACTACTAACACCCTCCCTCAAATTGATGGTGCTTATGCAACATCAATTTGTACGCAAGAAACCAGTGCCGAGACGATGCAACTGCCTTGGTGAGCAAATCAGATGTTTGTTCCTCAGAAGTAATATAGTGAACATGAACTTCAATGTGCTTTGTGCGATCATGCAGAACCGGATTCGTAGCAATACGAATAGCACTGGTATTGTCAGCATACAAGCGCATAGGAACAGCACACGGCATACCCAGTTCAGTCAGCAAGCGCTGAAGCCAGACCAACTCAGAAGTGACCTCAGACATAGAACGATACTCAGCTTCAGTAGAGGATTTGGAAACACGCTCTTGTTTCTTACACCGCCAAGATACAAAAGAAGATCCAAGCCGAATACACCAGCCAGAAGTTGAGCGACGGGTATCAAGACAGCCAGCATAATCAGCATCATCATAAGCCTCAATAATGGCATCACCCGAGGAGGGAAAGAACAAGCCTACATCAGAGGTACCACGGAGATACCGAAGTATTCAGTTAACAACAACCATGTGAGTAGTACGTGGAGCAGCCATAAATTGACTAACAGCCTGAACAGCGTACGAAATATCCGGTCTAGTATGAGTGAGATAAATCAAACTCCCAACTAGACTGCGATAAGACGAACCATCAGAAAGCAAGTCACCATCTGTATGTCGTAACTTCAAGTTCTGCTCCATCGGAGTAGCACAGGGTACACAACTATCCATATGAGGAGTTTCAAGCAAATCAATAATGTACTTCTATTGACTGACCAATAAACCAGCAGAAGACCGATGAACCTCAAGACCAAGAAAATAGGAGACATCCCCTAGCTCTTTAAGATTAAAAGCTGCCCAAAGAGTGCTAGTAAGAGTCTGAATACCAGCAATATCATCACCACTTACCAACATATCATCCACATAAATGAGTAACACCATAATTCCAGAGATTGTACGACGAAGAAACAAGGACAGATCAGTATGACTCTGAACAAAACCTGCTGACAGGATTGTATCGTGAAATTTCTAAAACCAAGCACGGGGAGCTTGCTTAAGGCCCCAGAGAGAACGACGAAGCAAACAAACCTTAGACTTGTCCCCAGACAAGTAACCGGGAGGACATTCCATGTAAATTGTCTCCTTAAGATCCCCATGAAGAAACGCATTACATCAAGCTGCTTCAATTGCCACCCTCGCATGGCAGCAACAACGAACAAGGTACGAACGGTCTGCATTTTGGCCACCGGGGCAAAAGTTTCTTCATAATCTATTCCATATTCCTCCCTGAAACCTTGGGCAACAACCCGGGCCTTAAATCGCTCAAGAGAACCATCCGGATGAAGCTTGACATTATAGACCCACCGAGAACCAATAACAGGTGCTGTAGGAGGACGATCCACAACATCCCATGTATGATTAGCTTCGAGAGCATGAATTTCAATATTCATAGCATTATCCCATTTTGGATGACCACAAGCATGTTTAAACGTCGCGGGAATAGGAATATTAGGAGTAGCAAATGCAACAAAGTTAGACATGCGAGGAGGTGGAACACCCTTGGTTGCACGCAGGGAACGACGGGGAGCAACAGCCGCTTGATCAGGTGAGGGAACAAGAGGAAGCAGAGATACCTCTCATGAAGAAGAAGCCTGCAGATTGGCCAGAGAGTGAGACGAGGCCAAAAGCTGGGGGGTGGATTGTGTGGATGAACTTGGGGACGAACCGGACCAGGCATAGGAGGCAGAGGACGTTTCATGAGGAGGTGAAGGTGGATCAGGAAGCTCACCAGATGCCACATCACGAGAGGGAAAATCCGGCAAGGGAAAAAGGAACTCAAGGTCCAAACGAGAGGGCTGATCGGCCGAGCCATAGTACGAGATATGCTCGAGAAAAGCAACGTTACAAGAGATATGAATGCGCCGATTGGCCACATCATAACAGACATAACCTTTGTGTTTATCACTGTAGCCAATAAACACACACTTTGCCGCTTTAGGAACAAGCTTATGACGCTCACGGCGAGGTAACAGAACATAGCAAACACAACCAAACACCCGTAGGCTCCGATAATCAGGTTTTTTGTTAAACAAGACTTCATATGGACTCCGATTATTAAGAACTGGAGTTATCTGGCGATTAATAAGATGTACGACGACCGTATGAACAGCTTCAACCCAATAACCAGTAGGAACACATGACTGAAACAAGAGAGCTCGAGTGAGTTCTAAAACATGTCGGTTTTCCTCTCAACAAGCCCATTCTGTTGAGAAACCCCAGGGCAGGACTGTTGAAGTAAAATGCCCAACTCTCTGAACACAGCCTGTAATGGTCCAGAAGTGAATTCACCACCTGGATCCGATCTGAAAATTTTAACATGTTTCCCAAATTGAGTTTTCACCATTTGCAAAAACTCCTTAGCCACTGACAACAAATCCGACTTGTGGCGCAGAAAGTAGACCCAGGTAAATCTCGTGACATGATCAACAAAGAGAGCGAAGTAACGAAACCCAACACGAGAAGTCACAGGAGAAGGTCCCCATAAATCAGAATGAACCAAGTCAAAAGGATCAGAATATTCCGTAGAGCTTGACGTAAATGATTGCTGAGTCAACTTAGCTTCAATGCAATGCACACAAGCACGAGAATCCGAAATTGAACTGCCCGACAATAAACTTGCATTATTCAGGTGGCCTAGCCGACGATGCCACAAATCCCAATTCGACAACTTAACAGAAACACCAAAAGTATCACTCGCCCTCCCTACATTCTCACAAAACGAATCCGAGCACACTGCACCCACGGCACCACCAGAATCCGCAGCTGGCGAAGACCCTGCTTAGCTGTCAAGGGTGAACACGCGACCCGCCTTAGTCCCGCGGCCTCTCTCCTTCCCCGTTCTCGTGTCCTGTATCACACAACCACTTGCATCAAAGATTAAACGACAGCCCTCGTCAACCAACTGTCCAACTGACACGAGACTGGGGACGAGATGAGGCACATATAAAGTATCAGATA